GTAGAAGACATCATAGGCTAGGGTGGGGGGGGGGAGGGGAAGGGAAGAACTTGTTTCGAGGGCAATTTTTGTATTGAAATTTGAATCGCAAAAAAACACAGGGAGCTGTTGGACACGGGAACAGGGGATGGGAGGCATGGAGGAATAGAAACAGGAAAACGCTGGGGCCACTAACATTAGAAATGAGTCTCTCGTCGGTAGGAAAATAACAGGCTAGCAATAGAATCTAGGCAAAGGGTACACAGATTCTACAGATGATTGGATGGGGCTTTAGGGATGGTAAAGGTTGTGAAAGGCTTAAAAAAAAAAAAAAAAAAAAAAGGAACAGGGGGGTAGGCTGTATGTATGAGGTAGACCTGTGCAGGATTGCAGTAGGCAGATACTAGGCAAGACGGGATTGACATGCAAACAGTTGATGATTGGCAAGCGGCCTCAGTGACTGTGCCCTGAGTGGTGGGGTGCACAGAAGCTGCCTCCCCCCCCCCCCCCCCCTTGCTCAGGCGGCTAGTGCCACAAGGATTAGGCTGATCCTCTTTCTATCTTATTTTCTCCCCCACTGTCTTTGTACAAACATGTTTGCCGGGGATTAAGTAACCGGACTGCTGGGCCCCCATAATGGAAGAGGCCTGTGAGTTGAAAAAAAAAAAAAAAAAGAGAGAGAAGGACAGACAGGTTTTAAAAAAAGGAAAAAAGAGAGAGGGACAGACAGGCAACTAGACATGCACGCAGCCCGCCAGCCACCCAGAGAGACAGATCATGAGGGCACGGAGAACAACAAGTGCGCCAAACCAAACACATTGTCCTATCAGAAAACGTCATCCCCCCCCCCCGTGCTTGGAAAAATTGTACAGTTCGATGGAAATAATCTGACAGATGGACGGACGCCACACCGACCGCTGGACGAACAAATGGACATGTGGACCGACCGACCGACCAATCGAGCAACAGAGACGGATGGGCAGATGGGACAGATGAGATGGATGGACAGATGGGACAGGTCGGACGGACAGATGGGACGGATGGGACGGACAAATGGAGGGATGGACACACAGACCAACCAATCGAGCAACGGACGGACGGACAGACAGACTGACAGACTGAAGGATTGATGAACTGATGAACTGATTGACCAACTGCCAACAGTCTGACGACGACAAAGTAGTGCAGAATAAGAGACAAAAGAACAGAGAGAGAGAGAGAGAGAGAGAGAGAGAGAGAGAGAGAGAGAGAGAGAGAGAGAGAGAGAGAGAGAGA